GAGGAGGAAGGACAGTGGAATCCGAGGCTGATATGTAAAATTAAATTAATTATAAAATAAAAATATTAAAAAAAGAAAAAAAAAGCAGATCCAGATCAGGCGGTTGCAGGTCCTATGTATAGGTTTCTGACAATGCTCAGCCTCCGATGCCGAGTGAACAGAATTTCCTATCTCTGTCCACCGCACCAATGAAAGGATGATAAACGGCATGCTAGTTACTGGCAGAAAAGTCACGAGCCACATCCATGACTACCTAGTTACAAAGTCCTTTATTTGGGGGAAGAGGGGACCAGGCCTGGCGAGGAGAGAGAAAGACGGTGAGGGAGGGAGATAGAGAGAGAGCAGAGTGGAGAGAGCAGAAAGGATGGGGTCTGTGTCTGGCTTTTTAAGTGAGTATGTAGTTGCCAACACATACTGATGATGCAAGATGCAAGAATACACCCCACTCCCACCCCATCTCCTGAACCATGTGTGGCCATGCAGCTGGAGAAAGGGCAGAAACCCAACACAATGCCTATGCTTAAATCTATTTAAAATATAATAAACTCCATCTGTACCTCATAAGAAGCTTCAATGTTGGTCCATATTGACTTGTCTTGAAATTCTTTCTCTGTAGTGAAGTAAAGAGTATTGACTACAGGCTGGGGACACAGCTCAGTTGGTAGTGTTTGTCTAGCACACATAAAGCCCTGTCTTTGATCCCTGGCATCACATACACAAGTCTGATGGTACACGCTTGTAATCTCACAACTCAGATAGAGATAGAGGCAGGAGGATCAGGAGGAATTCAAAGCTAGCTTCAGCTGTATAACAAGTCTTAGGCCACCTGGGGCTACATTAAACCTGCCTCAAAGAGTCATAAAAAATAATAAAATAAAAAGAATTTCAGCTTCAGCTAGTAGAGGTCTCTGAAAAGAACTTCTCAGGATGCTAGAGGGGGCAGCATAGAGCTCCATCTCTGGCCACCACCTCACTGGGACTCACAGGGCAGCCATACTTGCACAGTTTGAAAAGGGGTTTTAGGGTCTGGAGAAATGTCTCAGTGTTTCAGAATACTTGCTGCTCTTGCAAAGGACGTGAGTTCAGTTCCCATCACCCACACAGTGGTTCACAACTGCCTGAAACTCCAGTCCCAGGGGATCCATGCCTCCACAAACTCCTGCACACATGTGAGTGCACATACTTACACTCAGGCACACACACAAAAGTAGATTCTGAGTAAGTGCTGTATCATCTGTAGCAAAGTTCAGAGGTCCCTGGTGGGACAGGCTATAAACATTAATAATTCCAGCATGTGGAGAGTAAAATATGCTCGGTTGTCAGAACAATGTGGATGGTGGGGAGCATCCTTTGTCTGTACTGCTCACCAGAAGGAAGGAGAGCTCTTCCCAGATTGAGCATTGCAGAAGCCATGGAGCAGACCGGCTGGGCCTTCATATGATCTACTATGATCTACTTGCCAGTTCATGGCATTTCCTCTCCTTGAGTTTTTTTTTTTTTTGTTGTTTTTTTGTTTTGTTTTGTTTTGTTTTGTATATTTTCTTCTAGAACTGACAATTGGCACGTGATTTGTTTTGTTTCTGTCTTTGGTGGAGTGAAATTCTGTAACTAAAAGTGCTGCTAAAAAGGAAGCCTGTCTATATCAACTGTTTCCTGAGCCCTGTGACTGAGAGACAGAGTCCAGATTTCCTCATCCGAAGTATTTTGTTTTGTTTCTTTATTTTCTGTAATACTGACTTTTATCCAGATAAAGGGAATTCTTTATAGGTATACTAAGTGAGTTATTTCACATCAGTGTCTAGATTTTACCATGGACTTTCCAGTCTTTCCTTACCCTATTTATTTTTAAATAAAAAATTTAAATACCAGAAATGGGAAGGTTTGAGCAGGGAGGGAGGGTAAGGGCAGGGACAATCAAAATTAGGTACGTGTAAAAATGTTACAAGGAATCTGCTACTTGGTAAGTTCATTTTAGAAAAAGGATGTTTATTATATGCAAGTTGTAGTGCCTCCCCAAATCTTGGAAATTATTATACATACATGGAAGTCACAAGGTGATGCTCCAACCTCCTCTTGTCTTCCCACCAATGCTGTTTAGTCTTTCTAATTTTGTTCCCATTTCTTCTAAGGCACAAAAGAAGGGGGCCAGCAACACCATGATTGGGATGATCTTTGGATGCTATGCTTTATTTGAGTTGGTGGCATCGTTAGTGTTTGGAAAATATGTAAGTATTGGAGCTCACATATATACATACTTTAATTTTCAAAAATCATTTGGTGCATTATTATAACTTACTAATCTAGAATTTCTATGGATATGGAAATGATACCATTCCATTTTTACAAATTATGCCTCAGCTCCATCATTGTGGAGTCCTTTCCATGCTTATAAACTGGTTGTATTACAGTTCTTTTAAATGATTATTTTAATATGATATTAACTACACATGCTTTCCTGCAATTTTGTATGCTCTGCTATAGGGGATTTGTTTATGTAAATGTAGACATGTTGAAGCAATCCATTTATCTGTCTTCTTTGACTTTATTATAGCTTGTACAAATTGGAGCCAAATTTATGTTTATATCCGGAATGTTTATCTCAGGGGGAGTTACAATTCTCTTTGGGTAAGTAACTTTCAAATATGTTTGGAAACATGGACAGATTTTATAGTCTATTGGCTAAAATGTTAATGGCTTTGACATTTTTCTTAAAATTTTATTGTTATTATGTGTATGATGGTGGTGCTGTAGATATGGATATGTAGACATGTGGGTAGAGAATAACAATGTGACATCATTTCTTTTGCTTTACCTTTACATGGATTCCAGGTACTGAACTCAGGTTGCCAAGTGTATACTGTGAGTAACTTATCCACTGAGACATGTCACTAACCCATTAATGGCTCTTCTTTATTTGTTTTTGTTTTTAGAGAGAGTGTTTCCTCTGTTTAGATTTGGCCATCTGTAGACCAGGCCAACTGGCCTTGAACTCACAGAAATCCACCTGCCTCTGCCTCCTGAGTGCTGGGATTAATGGCATGTACCACCACCGCCCCCAATTAATGGCTCTTTAACCAATCAGTACCAATCACTCCTATATTGTCAGATGAATGGCATGTGACTAGTGGTGGAGGGAGATGGTGAACAGCAAAGAGAAATATCATTGGTCTTAAGAAGAGTTCTCCAAGACTACCTAAACAGCCTGCTAAACCAGACATGGTGCTCCCCATCTGTAATCACAGCATTTGGGAGACAATGCAGGAGGACCTCAAGTACCAGGCCAGCCTGGGCTATGCAGGCAGACGCTGTCTCAAAACTGCAATAGAGACCCAGACAGTGGTGTCACACGCCTTTAATCACAGCACTCAGGAGGCAGAGGCAGAAATCTGTGAGTTCGAGGCCAGCCTGGTCTACAGAGTGAGTTCTAGGACAGCCAGGACTGTTACACAGAGAAACCTTGTCTCAAAAACAAAAAGAAAAAGAAGAAGAAGGAGGAGGAGGAGGAGGAGGAGAGGGGGAGGAGGAAGGAGAAGGAGAAGGAGAAAAGGCAATAGAGAAAACAGAACCATGGCTCCTGAGTGCATTCACCAGCACTCCTGTGGTTGCTCTTGATGGGAACATAATAGTCTTCTGAGTCATAGAAACTCTTTGCTTAAACAGGAAAGACAATCTATTTCTTACAGGATCAACTCAAAGACACCTGGCTACAGGTGATGAAATAGCATTATCAGAAATCGTTCTTAGCTTTCTGCTTTTCTCTCCTCTTCTGGTGCAATGTTCCTTCACAAGCTCCTAGAACCTTCCTTTTCTTTTGTTGTTTTTGAGACGGGGTATAACGATGGAGCCATGAGTGGCCTGGAACTTGCTATGTAGACCTGGCTGGCCTTGAACTCATAGAAATCTACCTGCCTCTGCCTCTGAATGCTGAGATTAAAGGCATGGCCTTGCTCTTTCATCTCACTATTCTTGCTATTACCTAATAACAGTGTAACAACTGTTTACATAGCATTTACATTGTACCAGGTATCAAAAGTATCCAGAAAATAACTTAAGGGCTGTAAGCATAGCTCTGCATCAAAGAGAGTACTTGCCCACTACCATGGGTGAAGCCTTGGGTTCAACACAGCACCATAGTAAAGAAGTAAATAATTAAAAGTAGAGATGCTTTTGGTAAGATGAGAATCAGTTATAGCAGTAACATGTTTTATGTCAAGGACTTGAGCATCTTCTGATTTTGATACCTAAGGTAGATCCTGCCATTACAGTGTTCTCTGGATTCAGGGGACCACTATTTTCCAAAGAGACCTCCTTAGTATTATCATCTCAGAAATCAGTTATAACAACAGAAGGGGATAGCTAGGCTGTCATTATGACTTGAATTATAACAAAAATTAAAAACAGCAATTCCCTATAGAAAGTGTCACAGCCCAACTCTTTAAAAAGATTTCTAGAGAGACTTTATCTAATAACTTTAGGTAGTATGGCTATTTTCAAGAAATAGAGTGAATTAAAAAATTAAAACCAGTTTGACACTTGACAATTGTATTTGTTTTCAGTGTCTTGGACCAACTTCCAGATGGACCCATATTTATTGTCATGTGTTTTCTGATGAGACTAGTAGATGCCATAGGCTTTGGTGCAGCCATAACAGCATCGTCCTCTATCCTCGCAAAGGCCTTCCCAAATAACGTGGCTACTGTGCTGGTATGTAATTTGAACTTTTTCTTAATTTCCTTCTGATGTGGCCAAAACATTGGTTTGACCTGTTCTTACATGCTTTCCCCAACTCTCTTGTGTATTGTTCCCCCTTGTATTGTGATTTTGATTCCCTTTAGTAAAGTGAGAAAATAAAAAGCACATCATTGCTGGGTGTGACACACACCTGTAATCCACAACTTGGGAGGTGAAGGCTGGAGCATCAAAGTTTGAGGCCAGCATGGGTGACACAGTGAGTCACTGTCTGAAAAACAAAGAAATGACGATCGTCTGAAATGTTTAATTATTCTTTATCAATAAAAACTCGGGAGTCAGATATGGGGTAAGAACCTGAATGATCAGCGAAGCGGCAGAGAAGTGACCAGTGACCTCTTATCTCTTTTGTTCCTCCATCCAAAAGGCCAAGATCCTCTCTAAGCCCTGCCTACTACTTCCCATCTTTCTCTCTCTCTCTCTCTCTCTCTCTCTCTCTCTCTCTCTCTCTCTCTCTCTCTCTCTCTCTCTCTCTTTCTTTCTTTCTTTCTTTTTTTTTTTGAGACAGGGTTTCTCTGTGTAGCTTTGTGCCTTTCCTGGAACTTGCTTTGTAGACCAGGCTGGCCTCGAACTCACAGAGATCCGCCTGGCTCTGCCTCCTGAGTGCTGGGATTAAAGGCATGTGCCACCACGGCCCTGCCCCATCTCTCTTTCTATCCTCCAAAACCTCTATGGTTAATTTGAGTCAGCTAGTTGCTAGCTCCACCCTCTGATTCAGAGCAAACATTATTGTCAGAATGCGATCAAAATATCACACAACAACTCTCTGTGACAACTCTACCACAGGAGGAGAGGGTTTAAAAAGAAGGTGAAGCCTGGAATGGTGGCTCATGGCTTTAATCCCAGGACTCAGGAGGCAGAGGCAGATGGATCTCTGTGAGTCTGAGTCAGACTGGTCCACACAATAATGCCAGGCTAACCAGTGCTACACAGTGAGATCCTGTATCCAAAGAAAAAACCAAAAAGGCAGTGATCTCAAGTGTCTCTTAGGTGCTCTTCCTGGTCTCTGCATGGTCACCTTGATGAGTCAACATGATCCCAATCATTTTTTTTAATCACCCTTAAAATAGTTTTTAAAGATTTGTTTTCTTTTTTAATGTATATTAGTGTTTTCCCTGCATCTATATGTTATTTATTAAGTGGTGCTGTTTACCGTGCAAGAAAAGCCATGAGGTACAACAAAACACATTATAAGAGTTCATTAAGGGAAGGGAACAAAAGGGGTATGCATTGGCCTGGGAATGACCATGGAGGAAGAGAGAGGAAGAATAGGTGGAACCCAATTTTATAGGATCCCTCTGCACATGCGCATATGGACTTATGTAGCTATGCCATACCTGCGCATAGATTACATGACCATGCTGCACACAGATCATGTGATCATGAAGAGGACAGATTACACAGGACATAAGGCCCTAGGATGATTATGCATCTTGCCTGGCTACTGGACAGCACATGTGCAGTCATGTAACTGGGGGAGTGGCTAGGAATTCTAACATTCCAGACGCTTTGTTTTTTATAAAAAATGGTGGGTGATTGGGAGTGGGGACACTGTGTCTCCCAAAACTTCTTCTAGCTGACTCAGTGGGTATTGTTTAACTTTTGGGGGTAGGGAAGGGGGCTTTTGGTGTAGCTGGACATCCTGAGGTAGTGGATTGTCCTCCATCCATCGCCTTCCGCTGCTTCGGGCTTGGTGACTATTTGGGTCTGACAAGGTGCTGGTGAGGCAGAAGAGGAAGTTTAGAAAAAATTTTATGGGGGGGGGTTCCCTAGGGGTCCCAGGGTGAGGGAGGGGGTTCCTGGGACCCGTAAGGTTTGCATTATACTTATCTGAAGTTGTTCTGACCTGTCCAGGTAGATTCAAGCTGGCTCTGGAGCTAAGAAGAGTTTTTAAACATATTAAGAAGCAGCCACAGGGAGTTTCAAATCTTGAGCTGGTAGCCATATTATAATGTTTAGTAATCTGCTATCAGAATTTTATTGGTTAGTGTTGAGAGAGAGAGAGAGAGAGAGAGAGAGAGAGAGAGAGAGAGAGAGAGAGAGAGAGAGAGACAGAGAGACAGAGAGACAGAGAAACCTGGAACATGCTTTTAATTTTCATCTGAGATAAGCCTTATCTGAGACAAACCTCAAAGCACCTGTGTTTGTTTTTTATTAGTTTAACATCTAGAAGATACAGGTGATCAATTGCTGAGGGCATTTAACAGAAATAGATTGTTATATTAAAGTCTATTTTTTGCAGAGTCCAGACCCTTTTGAGTCTGGGGGTGTAAATACCTCTGGACTGTTACTGTTCCTTACCACCTGGGAATACTTGATGGTCCTTGGCCTCCATCTCTATGATGGTCCTTTAACAACTATCTGAGTTGTTAATTAGAAGTTTGAATATGTTATTAGAGACACAGAGGGAAACTGATGAAGCAGAATATGGTCAGTTGAGACAGGAGAGGGAATCAGGAAGGAAAAACTTGTGGGGTGAAACCTCATTCTTTGGGAATTGGTGACAAGGCAGTGGATCCTGGTGTCCTCTGGAACTTGGGAGAACAGGGCCATGTCTGTGTCACTGTATATTAGATTTACAGTACCAGGCATTTTGAGACAAGATGTCACTCTGGCTGGCCTGGAACTTACAGAGATCTACCTGCCTCTTCTTCCCAAGTGCTGAAATTAAAGATGTGTGCTGTTATGCCTGATATTCATAATTCCTCAACTATAATACATTAAATTTTCTGTTGTTTTTTCACTTTTAGGGAGGCCTTGAGGTTTTTTCTGGACTGGGGCTGTTAGTAGGTCCCCCTTTAGGTGGCTTTTTGTATCAGTCCTTTGGCTATGAGGTGCCTTTTATCCTTCTGGGGTGCATAGTTCTGTTGATGATACCACTCAACCTCTGTATTTTGCCCAGTTATGGTAAGTTCAAACTTAATATTCATTCTAGAATTTTACCTTTATTTTTATGTCTTTGTAAATGATACATTTACCACATATATTATGTAACACCTCTTTGTAGTCCCCTCAAAAGCTGGTTCTTTTTCCTAAAATATGGGTAATTAGTTTATGATGATTTTTGCTTACAAAGGACTAGGAATATAGCTCAATTAATAGAGTGCATTTTTAGCATTCATGAAGCCCTAGGTTTGACCTCAAACTTCACATAAGCAGATTATATTGGTGCATGCCTTTAAAGCATCCTCAGCTACATAGTGAGTGTGAGGCCAGCCTGGGATGCATAAGGCCCTTTCTTAAATACATAAAATAAAAAAGCATACCACAAAATTTCCAGGTTTAGGAGAAACAAATACTTTATTTTGGCTCACGAGCCTTTACCATTGGGCTGAACTAAGTTTTCACCAGAAATTCTGTGGGCAACACAGTTTGTCTGCAAAGCTGTAAGAACAAGGGAAGATTCCCACAAGTTCTAGACCACCTTCTTTCTTTCTTTCTTTCTTTCTTTCTTTCTTTCTTTCTTTCTTTCTTTCTTTCTTTCTTTCTTTCTTTCTTTCTTTCTTTCTTTCTTTCTTCCTT